CAATTTTAATAATAAACAACTGATTGGAGTTTTCCATTTTCTTCCAAAAGTCATTCACAATAGATCAGTTTTACGATTTGGCACCATTGTAATGCCAATGTCTTATTCGTGAGCTTATTTTTTGCAAATTATGTTTTTGCTTTACTTGTTATTTTTAAATGACACATAACATTCATATTTTGAAACATTCATATATAAAGCATACATCTATAGTTATTACATGCACATATAGAAACCAGATCTAAATCATATCAGGCCAGAGTTGTTTATTTATTTATTTAATCCTTTTATTCCAAACGCTTGCTTCGCTTTCGATAGCCTGTGCTGTATGTCTTGCCGACTGCCGCCGTTGTTCGAAATGTAGCTTCCCAGATAGCAGAAACTTTGTACATCTTCGATGTAGGAGTCATCTATTTGAAACTTCGTTGAGCAGTTTGAATTGAGACGCATAGACTTGGTTTTGTTGATATTGATTGACAGACCAGCTGCCAGTGCACGCTTTGCGATGTTGTTTAACGATATTTGCATCTGGGAAAAGTCATGTGTTAGTAAACAGATGTCATCAGCGTAATCGAGGTCAGTAAGTTTGTTATGAAGGCCGAATGAGATGCCATGATTTGTGCTCATAGCTTCCGACATAACCACATCTAAGACTATATTAAATAGTATAGGTGAAAGAATGCAACCTTGTCGGACGCCAGACTTTATTTGAATTTGCCCGCTCAGACGCCCTTCGTGAAGTACTGAGCAGTGCGCGTCAGAGTACAAGCCTTTTACTAAATTTATTAATTTACTCGGTATGCCTTTACACTCTAATGCATACCAGATGGTGGTATGGAGAAGTGTATCGAATGCACGTTTAAAGTCGATAAACAGCAAGTATAGAGGAGATCGCCATTCGCTAGACTGTTCGACTATTATTCGAAGGCTGTTTATGTGGTCGGCACATAATCGATTATGCCTAAATCCTGCTTGCTCGGCTCGTAGTGTAGGCTCAACGGCCGAAGTTAAACGTTTATGTAAGATTTGAGCAATAACTTTATAAGCTACATTTAGTAAAGTTATGCCTCTCCAGTTGGAGCATTCCATCAGGTTACCTTTCTTTGGTATATTAATAATGATGCCGTCTTTAAGATTAGGCGGTAATGACTCTTGGGACCAGAAGTTGTTGACAATTGGTTGAATAATTTGAGCAGCTGAACTTTTGTCTGCTTTGAGCAGTTCGGGGGCAATATTGTCCGGACCAGCGGACTTACCTGCTTTAAGCTGAGTTATTGCTGCCTCAATTTCACTGATGTTAGGTACATCTGTGTTTATATCGTTGCGAGCAACATGTTCGTGGTGTCTACTACATAGTTCCTGCTGAGGATAGGTGTTGTTTCCCGCTAGGAGATTTCTGTAGTGATCTTCCCAAACTTTTAGCTGATCTTCGGTAGAGTGTACTAGTTCGCCCCTGGTATTTTTTATTGGCTTTGCAATCCTGTGTTTACGTCCCACCATAGTTTTAGTGATGTTGTGTAGGTGTTTGAGCCTATGTGAGGCCAGAGTTGTAGTTTTCCTTAAACCCGACAAGGACCCGAAGTTCACGCTGAACTGGCGCCTCATCAGCTTGCTGTTAGTATCCTCTTCCTGACGAGCAATTAGGTTTTAGGGAAGACCTTTCCACAGAATTATAATTGGTGCGAACGGAACAGATGATACAATCAGCCTTGAGCAAAAGTGATTTAGCAGGTATGATTACTTTTGACATTGTCAAGGTATTTGACAAGGTCTGGCGCGACGGCCTGATAGGTAAAATATCTCGCTTTGGTGTCCCAGTTGGACTGACCAAAATTCGGCAGGTTCCTGCGTAAGAAGTCCTTCTTTACATCTTTCCGAAAAATTAAGCCGGTGTTCCTAAAGAACCGCTCTCCCCCTTGTTGTACAACATCTTTACGTATAATATCCCAATGCTAAGTCGCTTGGAGCTAGCATAATATGCAGATGGCATGTGCATGCTTTATTCCGATAAACATGCCAGAAATATAACCAACACATTGCAGGAGCATGTTAATCTTATATATAAATAAACTTAAAAATAATGTTAGAAACATAGTCTTATATATTAAAACTATTTATTTTAATATTTTTCTTAACTTAAAACTAATTTTAATTTGATAGATGTGACTGTACGACCTATATTAACTTATTTATGTAAGATAACATAAACTGTGCGAGACTTGTAATCCTGAAATAATTTTTATTTCTTGTTTCTATTGTAGTGCCCATGACCTACATTAATATCATATGTGACAAGCCACTGTTCATTCAGACAAAATAAATGTTTCATAAATTATAATATGCACTTTTGTCGGTTTGACGCTTTGACTTTGATCATATTACTTAAAAGAAATATTTTGACTCATGCTGTTACAAATATGCATTTGTAACATAAGACATGATAAGCATGTATGGTCATTGCACTATTCCGACCTAAATTCTAGAAAGTACATTAACTCTTTAAAAACAATACATGACGTATTATTGTAATGCGTTAAAAGAGTATTTGTTTATAAAATATATGTAATAAAATAATTAATGTAATTTATGGGAGTAACCAATGCATTGATTGGTTACTCAAATTCAATCAAAAAGTAAATAATAATTGTTTAGTAAATAAGCTGGAATAAGTATAAATACCCATAATTTTGATAATAAAAATAGATTCAATTTAACTTAAGACAAGGTTACGTCTTTTATTTGAATCGTGTTCTATGCGGCATTTAGATGCTGAAAGAACAATAAGCGGCTGAAGAGCTTAGTAATACTCTCCTCTATACTGATAGGTCGTTTCCACTTACACTGGTCGATAAGTGATCCTTGAATCCTTTCAGGACTCAGACATCATTTGGTGATATTAATTGAGAAGACTCTATCTAACAATCCTGCTATTATATCTCGACGATCCTAACATCCTGCAACCATTACATGGCGAAGCATTAAGATCATCACCATAACATTACAATTACATTTTATAACCATAACATGGCGATCCTGCAAGATCATTACACTATTCTTATATAACTGTTTTGCATTATATGAAATATTTTTTATTTCATATTTCTATCTCTTATATAACTGTTTTGCATTATATGAAATATTTTTTATTTCATGTTTCTATTTCTTATATAACTGTTTTGCACTATACTCAATATTTGCGGAGTTTATTGATAATATTTTAGTATTTTTGACTTTATGTTTTGCACATTTGTAGAAGTCATTGGCAGTTCGCAATACCAGGTTTTTTATTCGAACCATCTCCCAAACCTTTTGCTTCGCTACAGCTTCTATTCCGTCAACCGCGCTATTTCCATGGGAGTTGGCAAAAAAAATTCCATCCTAAGAATTCAAGTTTTAATTCTTTAATTAAATTTGGAATGCTGCTCATAATATATTTATTTTTAGATTTACATTTGTTCTTCTTTTTTGATATTGTGTATTATACACGGTTATAAAACAGTTTACACCAAATTTGTTATGAGTAAGTTATCGCTTACAACTGCAAAGGACTCAATTTATCCACAAAGTCTCGGAAATACAAATGACATCCACTTTGGAGTCTTTAAAAAGACCTGGAACATAATTTAGTTTAAGGCCAGAAAGGCTTTTTGCATTAAAATAAATCATATTAACACCACACCGTTAATTAGAAAAAATATTAATAAGTGATTTGTGACCCTGCATATTTAAAAATTAATGTTTTCAGCTTCCAGTTTATTTCTGCGTTGTAAGATCTTACATGTCACATCCCTACAGTCCTGGTCAGTGGAAAGTTCATGGAGATGAAGCAATTTTTTGGCTTTAACATAATAATTACCGCATTTGACAAAATTTTTTTGCACTCCTTATGGTCCTCATTATCTAGCTTTTCACTAAAACCCGAGATAAATAATTTGGGGTGTCGATATATTTTATATATATATTGGTCACTTTATTTCCTCACTTTAATTCGAAATAACATATTTAATAGTAACCCTGCCATTACTTTTAGCTCGAAAACTGTTAGCTTTCACATTAAATTCTAATGGAATAATTTTCATTTTTAAGTCTTTTTTAGTGTCACCACCTAGCTGTTTTTTTATAGGTTTCACTGTAATGAGTACAATAGATGTATTACACGATTTAAGTTTCGCTGCATAAGATTCTTACTTCTCTTCCCTTTTATAAATTTGTTTTAATGATTCAGAACACAACAACTCTTGAACGTTAATTTTATCAGAGTATTTTGTTTCGATAGATTTTAATAGATAATTCAGTTCGTTTTCATTAACTTTTAATTATTTTATTACTATTTAGCCTTGCTTGGTGTCACATGATTCCAAGCTGCCTCTATACTGGGAATAGGCTATCTGCAAATTGCTTTCATCTTGTCCTTCTTATTGCCACTTCTCTGAGCTCAACAATATTAATGTATGATATGTATGTATAATGCATCTTTAAATTCATTTTTATATTGTTTAAGATATGTGGTTATTAGTTTTGCCCATATTTTCATTTATTTTTCTAAGAGCAAAATCGACATTGTGAACATATTGCATACAGTCTTCGCACATAAAATGAATTAGAAGATTATTTAAACAATTAATATTAAATTACTCTACGCCAGAACATTTGGTAGTTCTGTGATATGCTTTGCCATACACACCCGAGCATACTAATCGAGTTTCTCCGCAGATATATCCACGACATTTGTAACGTTCTTACATATTGACAATAATATAGGATTTAATTATTTAATATTTCACAATTACATGATATATAATTAAATAAATTGTGTAATAGTTTAATTGTTTTGCAACACTATGTTCGCTTAGGAATTTAATGATGTCTCTATTAGAAGCTTACATGTGTGAAAAACAATAAAAAAACACAGAATTAACCGCATGTGTTTTTACAAAAGTAAAAATTTTGACAAATTTTTGATAAATTTTATTAAATAATTTTAAGTAAAACCGCGCAAATGAAAAAAATTTATAGCAATTTTAAATATTTTATTTGAGTTAGTATATAGTTTTTTGTGAACACAATATGGTTTAATATTTAAATATTATGCACATCACACAAAACACACGACCGCTGCGCTTGTTCAATTTTTTGTTAATTTTTGCTGCGATAGTTTGATAAAGCAATACGGTGTGGCAGTACGTGTTAATGACATATAATAAAAACTATCACATTTGTATATATGTATTTTCATTTTTTATGACATTTTTTAAAAAAAAGTCAGTATAATCCAAACAAAATTTACAAATAGTTTGAAAGTTGGTGACCTTTTTATGTAACAAAATCACTGTAACCACTTGTATTCATTTAACTTTGAACGGATAAATAAAAGAACACATAAGACACCAGTAAGCAATTATTGAACTTCGTCCTTTACACATTTGCGTTAGTTTTAACCACAAGTTGGCAATTACATCCACTTAGATCGACATCAGTATTTCTAAGTAATGTCTGGAGGAAACTTCTGTCATCATTAAATACAACTAGACAGCTTAATTTACATGGCGGAGTTTCTGATGTGGTGCAGGCGCAGATAACATTCGGAGCAAGGGTAAAACATTTGGAGTTGATGTTGAAGGACGTGCTGAAGGATGTTGAAGGAATAATGGATGTATTGTGCTCCTGGTATGCTTTTGTTTAAGTTCATTAGTACCGTGTGCTATAAAGTTATTTAAAAAAACAAAAAACATTAATAAATACAAATATATATTGAGACATAACATACCTTTTATGCTCCATGCTGTCATTAAAATTTCAAGGAATATAATTACTTGTACACCTTTTAACCTCAGAAGCCATGCCAATTGCACCTTTTCTATCTTAGCGATGCGGATGATATCTAAAAAAATTCACATTCAATATTATTATTGTAAATTAATTCAATCTCACTATATTGCATTTTAAATATTTGCACTAGATACCCAATGCATTATATGGTATGATTTCACATTTTTTTAATAAACTAATTTTTAACACAAATCACATTCACATTTTGTCTTTATCACTTATATTTCGCCTGCTTTTAGTCGGTAATTTTTGAATTGTATTAGTTAAATTTTTTTAAAAATATTATAATATTAAAAGAAAACACACTGTAACTGTCTAGAAAATATGAAAAACATGTGTTAATTGATAAACTTAAAGTCATGAATATATATTTAGAGGAACATATGATATACAACTCTACAATTAAAGACCACTTAAGTGAGAAGCTAAAACAGACCAAATTTACAATAAATTGTCGAAGTTCTATTTTAAGTACATTTTTCGCCCACGATATATGGCGTTATAGCTTACTGTTTGAAATATCTGGCCATTTGACAAAAAAAATAAATTGTGTAAAAAAAAGTAAGAAGTAGTTGAAGCCACTTGCAATTTTTATAATGGTCACTTTTGATTTTGTAAAAGTACTAGAAAGTTTTAAATGGAATTAAAGTCTTTTTTTAAAGAAATAATACAATAAATTACAATCTATTATATTACTAGAGTAAGAGAAATCATTCTTTTTTATATAACACTTAAAATTTTTCGCTAAATGTAATTAGTTATTATCACAAGTTATTCCTTTTTGATTATTTTCAGTTTTATGTTCTATATGTTATTCTATATTCTGTATTATTATATTTCGATTCTAACAATATCCTACATATAATTTTGATGTCTCCTTTGACAAAATTTCGACATCGTTGGTGCTTAACAGAGTCTTTCATGCCAGCATGTCCATCATTATGACAAAGTCTCATAAATCGTTAACGCATTTATTTTGGTATTATCAGCATTTATTTTCCATGTTTCTTATAGAGCGAGCTTATTTTACATTAGTATGAATTATTTTTCATGTTATTCCCGTTATGTTGAACATAATATATTGATCAGAAACTATTGTAAGTTTGCATCTAGTTTTTGCATTGTTAATAACCAATCACTATTTTCAATCTGATGGCCATTAGAAAGCAATTTTTGCTCTTTAATTGTGTTAGAAGGCCATCGATATAACATATGCATAGTTTAGGACCAATTTTTAAATATAACCTGTAAGCCTTAAAAACCGCTTTACTTTGACAACAGTTAAGTCTGGTTTCATCTGCAGTTTCTTTATAAAAAAACATTTTGAGAGGCATATTGTCAAGTATTCTTTTCGAATAACTTGCAAAAATTGTTATAAATTCTGAAGCCCATCTTTTACAGTTTCAGACGCTTCACCTGTAAGCTGTTCGATTAAACTGATCTTATTTTTTAAAATGCAGTAGGAGCATTTTTGGTCCCAAACGGCATTTGATTAAACTCGCAGTACCCAATCATTTAAAAAAGCATGTGTCAATAAAGTGTCAGCTACTATAGGCACGTCTGTTTTTTTATTACAACATTTTATGCCCTTTTGTCGGCATGATGAGTATACTAAAATTGAAAGACAATTGGTATTCAACTCTAGTAGTCTAATTATATTTTTTGTTCCACGACGCATTGCTTACGTATTGATATACATTAAGGTATTTTAGTTACCAGGGTTGGAGGTATAATCAAGTTCATTTAAATTTTATTTGAAACAGGCGGAATAGTTGTCAATTAATTTAAATAACACGTTTTTTTCGTTCTTAGATAGCACAACACTTTCACCTGTTAATGCAAATCCTTCACAATATAAATTCTTCAATTACAACGGAACCTTTGAATAATATGTTGCTACTGAAAACGACAGACAGCATGGTATTATTTTGGAACACTAATATTTAACAGTTAAAAATCGATATGGTTGATTATTATTTTTCTTGTTTTAATTGCGTTTATCGAATTTTGTGCAACTTCTCTCTATGTCTACATAATAATGCAATGGAAATTATTTTTGCTGGAGTACCTTCTTCATCGCACATCGCATCGGAAAATATGTTACATATAAACATATTCTGGGTACGGCACATGTTCAGGATTCGCGGCAAGCAAAGGCTATAACATTTTGTAGACGCACACCTGCATATTTCTATGTATGTATATTAACTCGACATGCATATTGGCAAAACATGCTGAGTCAACAATATAATTATTGTTTAGCATGTCATGTGTGCAGCAGCATTCGGTACAAAATAATTGTTCTCGTTTGACGCTGGTATTGAAGTTTCTGCCGCTTGAATGGATTGTGTTATTGACTACAATGTCTGCAGGAACATAATATTCGGATCTCAACTTCAAAATGACGGTACCTTCATTTGCTGCAGATTTAGAGTTAGTTCTGTTTATTTTATTTTCATATGTTCTTGCATTTTGGTGTCAAGAAAGATGCCTAGTTATTTCGAACCTGTTGAAATTAACATGCTGTGATTTACTTAATCATTATTTTTAGGTCCGTTCATCATATTTACTTTTTTAATGATTATAATATTGTTTTACTCTAAATGTAGTGACGATTTAAAATTTTGTAAAAAAATTTAATAACATTAAAAATAACTCTACCAGATAACATGGTATAGCTTCTCCACCAGGTTGAAAGATAAAACGAAGCTTGAGGCTAGTCAACGAAACAGCTAGTGCTGCTAAAAACTAACATAATAACGCTTGTCGTTCTCACTGGTATTTTCCGTGCATTCACCCTGGCTCTGTACGGTATCTTATTTTAGAAAATAATAAAAACAGCAAAAAAGCAAAAAACATTTGGCTATGCAAAAGAATGCAACTGTTGGAGGTTGAAGTACCTTTTACTGTAAGTTTTACTTAGTTAATGTTCGAATTTTGTTTAAAATTAAGTACAGTAGTCGTCCAGTATAACGAACGCGCGGTATAAAAAATTTTCGATATAACGAACACCAAAAATATTTACATTGATTGCTCTATATAACGAATTTACGAACAAAATATTTTTTGTTTCTTATTTCTTTGTTTTGTATAAATTATGATTTTGAATATGAGTTTACTATAAAACTAGTGTTATTCAGCTTAGAACATGCATGTAATTGTCTGTTTTATTTTTTTTCTGAGAAAAATGTCTGCATAAATGCAGGCGCTACTGTTCTGTTGCCCACAAATTCAGTTAATCATATACGAAGTAGTATCGAGCCACACATATGTATATATTAAGGTGTTTATATGTAATATGTATTTGTTTGAAAATATCGTTTAAACATTAATGTTGACAAAGAGAGACGTGTAAATCGTTGTGCATTAAATTTTAGTTTTTATATAAAAGCAAAGATGATGAAAAGGAATCGTTTAACCGTTAAAACAAAATTGGAAATTTTAGATGATATTGATAAGGGAATTGCAGTTAAAGCAATTTCACTAAAATTTGGTGTACCACAGTCATCAATATGTATCATTAAAAATCAAAGGTCTGCATTAGTTAAATCAGTTGAAACACCAAAACTGGTAACATCGCGAAGGTCTTTGGGAACAAGTGAATTCCTGAAAATGGAACTACCTTTATATAAATGGTTTTTAAAACAAAAGAAAAATAAAATTCCAATAAGTGGAATAATATTTTAAACTATGGCTAAAAATTTACATTCAAAATTCTATGACGGATCATTTTATGCCAGTGATGCCTGGATGAGTGAATTCAACAAACGATATGGTGTATGTCTGCTAAAGGAATCAAGCGAAAAGCTTTCATCACGTGTTGAATTTGTAAACCCTTTTAAGAAAGAACTGAAAATCTTGCTCAAAAATAATTCCCTATCAGTTGTATTGGAAATTACTTTCTGAGAAGACTTATGTGCACATTGATGAAAAAGTTGCACCTGGTAGAAAAAATACAAAAGAATGACTTACGTTTTTGGCATGCACAAACGCTACAGGCTCCAAAAAGATAAAAATGCTTATTATCGGAAAATCTAAAAAGCCAATAGCATTTAAAAATAAAATTTGATCAGTTGACTATATGAATGCTAAGTCCGCCTGGATGAACGTTGGAATTTTTAAACTATGGTTTTATAATAGCTTTTGCCCCCAAGAATGACTTAATTTTTTTTTATTTATTATTACAAATGTTAATATACATATTTTATATATGTAGAAGAATTTTTAAATGCAAAAATCTACCAAAAACAGCTTTAATTAAGACAATGCGCCAAGTCATCCAGCTGAAAATGAGTTGATAAAAGTTACTGAAGATGGAACAATATCGACAATATTTTTGCCACCTAATATCACTCCGTTGCTACAACCAATGTATCAAAACGTTATACGGCTTGTTAAGTTACACTATCGCAATAGTCTTTTGAGCAAAATTGTGGCTGAAGGTTCTGAGAATATTTTAAGCGCTAAACCTTATGTAGTCTTTTCGACCAAATTGCTAAGGTTGTGAAGTAGAAGCAATCCTAATACATATAGGTTACAGCCTCCTAATATTTTTGTATTGTATTGTGCTAATTGGCTAATTACGTTCAAGTATTGTTATAACTGAGAATTAACAAAAACCACTTAAATTATTTTACATTAATTTTTATCATATTCAATATTACGAATTTAATCTAAAGTCATCTTCAAGAAACTGACAACTACATAATATTGTTGCGTACGTTTCACAATTCGACGTGATCGTTCGCGATCGCTGGATCCCGATAAATAATTAAATAGTTGGCTCTAGTTTTGATCGATTTTTAAATTTTGTCAAACGCAAACACACAATTTTCTCTAAGAATAATACATAATAAAAATTATTTCTAAACTAAACTGACATTCTTAGATAACTGTTTCTAAAATTACTTAGATTCCATATGAGATAACTTAGATTACATATTCATAGATTTCATATTCTCAACAATATAGTAAAATACATTATAGTGCACAAAATATGTGTATAAATATAAAACAAAAACACAATTTTTTAAAAAGTTACCACTAAAGTAT